GAAAGAGTCCCTGCTCTCTTTCCTCACCCGCCCCTTCCTCTGGGCAAACTGACCCTCTTCCTTGGTGTGCGGGCAGCCCTCTCTGACTTCACTTACTAGCCCCCTCTACCTCGAGCCAGAGACAAGGGTGCACAGTTCCACCTCTGGGATCCTCGTGTCGAGGCAGAGAGCCGAAGGTGTTAAGCAAAGCACTGGCTGTGACAAAAAATGTTAAGGGTCTCTTTTTTTTTTTTCATTTGCTATAGGGCATTCGCATCCTTGAGAGCTGAGGACAGAAAGCCAGCTGCCAGGTCCAGGACTCAGACCATGGTCACCCATGTGGGAGCCCAGCGCCTTAAACACCATGCCACCTGGTGGTCCCCAGGGTTAAAATCGGAACACCGACATTTTACAGACTGTGTCCAAGGCCTTAAGTAGGCTGTGGCTATTTTGTACCGATTGTCTGGTCTTCCTTTGTGGTTTGTAACGCTTTGCAGTTTTTTTTAACCTAAGAATATACCCTACCCAGGGCCCTGCAGGTGGTGTAATAATTATGTCACTGGACTCCCTTGTAGACGATTGCAGTTCAAGCTCCAGTCTGGGCGGCTTAAAACTCACGCCAGGCTCATGCGTGTGCATACTCAAAATCCTAAGAGGATAATGGAGGAGAAGGGATTGCAGTGTGGCTATCCCCCCAGGCGGTGATTTCTCGCTGTCTCTCCAGCAAGCACACATAACCTATAGCAAAAATCTCTCTCTAAAAAAAATGTAAAAATGTACCCTGCCCAGAGGCAGCAGGATGGTGATGGTATCCTCTCTGGCTGGTTTTTCTGAAGTCCCCTTTGATACCAAGGGCTTGGTACAATGGCAGGCGGAAATGCAAGGGCCATCGGGCTAGCGCTCAATGACACAACACCCGTGTTGTTTGACTAGAGAAACGGGAATGGGGGCTCCCAGCAGAAGGGCTGGAGCGGGGCCATGGGCTGAAGGCTTCGTGGAGAAGGGGCACTGAGACTGGGGAAGGGCCTGGGGGTCAAACGAGGCAATGGTGCCACCGCCATGTCCAGCACCACCCTGCAGCTCAGAGCCCACTCAGGAGCCGTCTGTGTTTCCATCTCCTGGAAGCCCCCTGCAGTCCCTGCGCCCCGCCCTGCCATCCATCTCTGTCCCACGCGTCATGGCCAGGGCTCAAGATGAATGGAATCACTCTTGCTCCTTCTCCTTCCAGGTTCAAGTACGTCCTTGTCAATATGTCCACGGGCTTGGTACAGGACCAGACCCTGTGGTCAGACCCCATCCGCACCAGCCAGCGTAAGTAGGGGTGGGTGTGGAGGAGCCTTAAGGGAACCCCAGAAGGCAGGCCATGCTTGGGCATGAGAATGAAGACTCACACTGGATTCAACATGACCTTGGCCAGGACCTGGTCTCCCCACGTGCAGGCAGTGATCTGCAGAAGGGCACCTGCAGGGTGTCTGAAGGGACAGTGACTGCATGGTGGCTTGTTCGTGGCAGGACCTACAGAGTGTCCTCATAGCTCTAGAAGATGAGGCCAGCCAGGGAGGGCGAGCGCCACCACGCGCCATGCCAGCACAGCATCCACAGCCTCGTCTCAGCCATGTGGTCTGTATCCGCCTCCCAGACCTGAGCCGGTCTCTAACTTAGAGTTACAGGTAGCAGCGGCAGAGGCCGGATGCACAAGACCGGAAGTTGAAGGTGGGATGTGGGCCAGTGCAGTCATTGCACCTAACTTGGAGGGGACAGTCCCCAAACCAGGTTCACCTCTGGATTCCTGGCAGCCGGGCCGGGGGACACTGGCTGTCTCTGGGAGAAGGCACAGGGCGGTTGTATCTGGGGAGTAACTGGCTGCGGTTGCCCTGCAGTCACCCCGTACTCAGCCATCGACACGTGGCCCGGCCGGCGGAGTGGAGGCATGATCGTCATCACCTCCATCCTGGGCTCCCTGCCCTTCTTCCTGCTCATGGGCTTTGCTGGGGCCATCGTGCTCAGCTTCGTGTGAGTACCTGCAGTTGGCAGGGCCGCTCTTGGGCGGCTGACAGTGGAGGGCTCGGTGGCGGGGTCCTCGGAGGCAGGGAGATGCCTTTCACTGTGGGGTGGAGTCTGGCCAAAGGGGAGCAGAGTCCAGGATTTCAAGGGGGGGAGGGCTCAGCGCCTGGGCTTTGTGAATAGATGTCCATTCAGCTCTTGGCTCTACACCGAGAGTGGGCACCCGGGGCAGGAGTGTCACCTTTCTAGTCCTCAGTTTTCATGTGGAAAATGGAGGTGATGATAAATCCGGGTACCCCATGGAGTCGGGAAGGGTTTTGGGGAAATTCTCTTGTAAAGTCCTCAGTGCCCTCAAATATTAGCCTTTGTTTTCATTATAATTCACCCACTTTCAGCACAGACGGGGAAGCTGAGGCCAGGGAAGTTGGCCCAAAGTCATACACCTGAGCTGGGACTAGGACTCAGGTCTCTTGACCCCAGTAATATCTCTGGTTTGTGTCTGCCTTGAGTTTGGACTTGAAGTCTCCTGGGCTGCTCAGGGGCGGACGGATGAGCTCACCACCCACATACCTGGGAGGACAGGGCAGGGCACGGATCGAGGCACCTGCACATGCCATGGGAGTTCAGAGGAGGGCAGGGCGGATCCTGCTCAGTGCAGCAACGTGGACTTGTCCCTCCCTCCTCTGGGCAGTGCCCTAATCTGGCCCGGCCCATCATGTGAATGTAGTCGAGTTCTCCATTCATCCTTCCTGCCCTGCCCAGAGTGCTGGTTCTGGTGGAACCGAGCTTGCCGCTACTGCCCGAGACACCCTTGCACCCTCCTCTCACACCTCCTCCAAGAAGCCATCCTGGGGCTCCTGCCTGGATTCATCCATTTGGTGTGTTCATTGTCAGCTAGGGTCCATCTCCAAATGATCTAGGCTCTCTGGAGACATGGAGCAATGGCCTCAAAATGCCCAGACCACAATAAGATCTATAGGTTGTTTTGTTGGTCCGGGGCCTGCTCACAGTAGGTGCTCTGGACAGCCCGCTCAGGTGATGGTCGCCTGAGACCTGTGAAAGCGATGGCTGAGTACCAAGACCCCAGCAGCTAGGGCGTGAGGTCTGTTCTGCTCCCTAACCACTCTCTATCCCCTGGGCCAGGGACATGGGAAGTTCCGATGGGGAAACGACGCACGACTCCCAGATCACGCAGGAAGCCGTCCCCAAGTCCCTGGGGACCTCAGAGCCGTCCTACACGTCTGTGAACCGGGGACTGCCCCTGGACAGGGCCGAGGTGTATTCCAGCAAGCTCCAGGACTGAGCTAGCCCTGACGGCAGGTCCTCCCTGCCCACCTGGCCCAGGGATAGCTGGTGCCCACACCCTGAGTGGACAGAAGGTGAACAGGGTGGGTGGGTCTGGCTGCAGGAAAACTCTTAATAAAACCTCCCCATGGTTTCGAGTCGGTGACAATGTACAGAACGGGAGTGTGCGGGTGCAGTGAGTGGACGAGCCGCTGCTGTACTGGGGGTGGGATTGTATCCCTGGAGGGCGCGGCAGGGGTCTGGTTTGCAGTCAGAGCTGCGGTGCTGAGGGCTGAGTCGGAGCATGGATTTGCTCCCTCGTCCCCCGAGTCTTGATGGCTTTATCTGTAAAGCGGGCTGGTGGAAATGGTGACCTCCGAGGCCATGCTCACCTGGAGTTCTTCCTGGCTTTCCCTGAGGACCCCTCTAGCTGGAGGGCAGGGGAGATTCGGCCCCTCCTGGGCCCTCTGGGAGCTGCCAGAGAAGCAGGAAGGCGGAGGACGGTGACCCTGGAGACAGAAGTGCTGCAGTAGCAAATGGGACACACGGGAGGGGCGCCGAGCCTGCCTGGGGGGAGGGCTACACCTGTCCCGGGTCTCTGCTCCAAGGACTCAGTTCTCTGCTGAGCTAGGAAGGATGGCTGCTTTTCCTTTTGGGGTGTGCAAAACCAAATTCACAGTCCTGCTTCCCGTAGCTGAGAGATGGGGTTCGTCAGAGCTGGAATGTGGCCCAGAGCTGCCCAGACAGTCCAAGTGGACCAGATCTCTCCTCGGGGACACGGCAGGGCCCGACTCTCCCACCCCCCACATTTGCATGCTGGACTCTTAGCCCTCAGTGTGACATCCTAGGGAGGGGCGCCTTGGAGTTGACCACGGTATGAGGGGCCCCTTTAACGGGACAGAGGCACCTCGACTCCACCGTGTGAGAACACAGGCTTTTAGAGGTGAAATGTTATGGACTGAGAATCTTCCTAAAGTTTGTACGTGGACAGAGGCACCTCGACTCCACCGTGTGAGAACACCGTGTGAGAGCTGAAATGTTATGGACTGAGAATCTTCCTAAAATTTGTACGTGGACAAATCCTAACCCCCGGTGTGAATGGAATTAATACCTCATAAAAGAGAACCTGGAGGGGCCAGCCGGTGGCGTGGTGGTTAAGCGCTGCACTCCCACATGCCTGACCGTGGTTTGAGTCCTGGACCTGGTGGCTTGCTTTCTTACTTTCTGTCTCTCTCTCTGTGTCCTTCTCTGGTCAAATTAAAATAAGTAAATAAATACATAAAGTTAAATAAAATAATTGAAAAGAGAGAGAGAGAACCTGGAGAGCCTTCTCACCCTCTCTCTCTCTAATTGCCAGAGGGCAATACACTCCCCAGAGAGAGGCAGAGTGGGGAGAATGAAGACCCCCGATGGGCTGTGAGCACGCTGCAATCCCTTCTCCTGCTGGGATTTGGGACACGTACACACACGTGCCCAGCATGTTGTTTAAGCTGCCAGGGCTGGGATTCGAACCTCAGTTGGCCATGTGCGATTCAGTTGCTTTAACCACTAAGCTACAGGGCTAGCCCCTTCTCTCCCTCTTTCTGCCATGTGAGGATGCAACAAGAAGTCGGGAGTCTGCGACTGAAAAGAGGACCCTCGCCAGACTTAATCTGCCGGCATCCCGATCTTAGACATACAGCCTCTAGAACTGTGAAGAATAAATTCTGTTGCTTACGAGATGCCCAGACTGTAGGTTTTTGTTTAAGCAGCTCGAACTAGCCCAGACAGGCATGAATTCTGAGACAGGCAGCCAATCTGTTTGGGGAACCCAGAGCTGAAGATGCAGGAGGCAGGAGCCGAGAGGAGCATGAGTATGGAGGCCAGGAGGGGTTGGCAGGAGTCCGACTACAGTCAGTCAGGGCGGCAGGAGCAGGGTACCCATAGCCATGTCCCTGCAGAGCAGAAGGGGTGGCAGTGCTGATCCAAGAGGGCACCCAGGCCCATGTGGCCCAGATCCAGATCCCCTGAGACCGTCATCTGGGCCCTGAGGCTGGCCTTGGCAGCCAGTGGAATTTCCTCCACCTCCCATCCCTGTGCATCCTCCCCAGAGCCTCCTTCCCTTAGAGGGGACCATCCGGCCCTCCCTCTGGGAATCCCCAATCACAGCAAAGAGAGGATAAAGCCCCTGGGCAGCCGCCGAAGATCCAGGAAGCGTTGCCCATGGTCTGTAGGTGCCTGGCCAGTCCAGGCTTCTGTCGACGTGAGACACGCGCAGCGTACAATCAGTCATTTCGCAGTGAGCCGCTGGGTGTTCTGTGCATCCATAGTGTGCAACTGCCGTGTCCAGCTGGTTCCAAGAGGTGGCTCACCCCAAAGGAGACATTGCCATGAGCAGTCACTCCCCAGCTCTCCCCCCAGTGCTGGTGACCACTGACCCACATCCTGCCTGGACGGGTCGCATAAAGCGAGTTACACAGCTGCACCCTTCGTGTTCACCCCGACCTGCCCTGTGTTCGAGACCCATCACGTGGCCACATGCGTCAGTGCCTCCTTCCTCCATGTGGCTGCGCGATGCCCCGCTGTGGGGTGGGCCCATTCTGTCAGTTGACCACGTTTGGGCCGCCATGGCCAGTGCTGCTGTGGACACGGTTTTCCTGGAGTGGGCTGCTGTAGCAGGGGGCAACTGCCTTACTGGGGGACCCCCAGACTGCTTTCCACAGCAGCTGCGCTGGCCATGGAGCCTATGCTCATCTTCATACTGAAATGATGTTTGAGTATTGGACGGTCGGTACAGCAGGAACACCGTAGCTCTGGGAGGCTGGCCCACCTGGGAAGGTTCCAGGTTCACGTCCAGAGACCTCCCTGAGTACTCCAGGCATGTGTGTGCCCACATTCTGGGGCAGGGCTGAGGCTGGGGATGAATTGTGGCATCGAGACTCATTGGGGTTACTTTCTCTTTCTCTCTCTCTCTCTCGTGGAAGAAATATACTTTAAAAACTAGCGTTTAAGCTCACTTACGCTGGCGTGAAGCGGTTGCTATGGTGAAGGCCGCAGACCTCTTCTGTGGCTTGGAGTACCCGGCCTTGTGCCTCCCCTGGTCTGATGAGCAGCCTCCAGGTGACTGGGCCCCTCCCCGTCAGCGCTGGCCAGTCAGGGCCCCAGGGAACCAGCTCTCCTGCTGCCGGGCGGCCTTGGCAACGGCTCAGAACACACAGCGGGAAGGGCCGAGTGGAAGGAACACAGATGAGCAGACACGCTCAGGGCCAGGGGAGCGAGCACGCGAGTGATGCTCTCAGGCAGTCGCGGCCTCTCCAGGGGGTTGTCCCTCCCTGCTCTGTGCCCAGGAGGGCTGCTGGAGGGCTGCTGGGCTAGTGTGCGAGGTGGAGTCCGGGAGAGCCGACGGGCCTGACTTCCCTGCCAGCCAAAGCGCTGGGAGAAGGTTTTCCGCCTCTTGCAGCCTTGGTTTTCTCCCATGTGGGACACCCCGTCCTGCTGTGTGGCCAGGAGGGGACAGACCGGTGCACACCCGCCCCCACTGTTCCGGCTCGGGGCCGTCTGCAGAGTATCTGCACCGAGGCCCCGGAGGACGGGTGTTCTAGTTCCTTCTAGTAATGGGAAATCCCTAACACCTGGTAATCTATAAAATAGTTTATTCAGTTCTTTTTTTTGGGGGGTGGGGGGTGTCCAAGATCCAGGAAGTGGATCTTGTGAGGGTCTTCTGGCTGCTTTACAGTGGGAATCTTGTCCATGTGTCTCCGTTCTGGCCTCCTCCCTTTCTCTGTAAACCTGCCTGGGGTCGGATCTGGGGCCCCACCTGACACCTTAGTCCTGATTTCCCAGAGGCCCACGTTTCTGCAGCACGACAGGATTCATCTCAGACATGCCCGGGGTCCACCTGCAGGCCCTGGCTGCACGTAGCTCTCAGCTCCCTTTCTGTGACCCCCAGCCCACACAGCACATGTCATGGGAGGAAGGAGGTTGGCGATAACGACCATGGCAGGGGACCAGGCGTCTGCTAAGTGCTCTGTTCCGGGAGGGAATCACGTGTCCAGGGTAGGAGTGGATCTCGCCAACGCTTGCTATGTCCGAGGCCAGCAGGAAGGTGCGGCCTGGTGGGCAGGGGAAAGAGCTGAGGGAGATGGGGCTGAGATCAGATGGAGGCTGGGTTTTCTTTACTTTCTTCTTTTCTTCCAATTTTTTCTTTTTCTTCTTAGAGAGATTTTTGCTATAGGGTGCATGCGCTTGCCAGAGACAGAGAAACAGAAGGAAAGAAATCAGACCCCAGAGGGAGGGCCATGCAATCCCTTCTTCTCCATTCCCCTCTCAAGATGTTGGGCACGCACATGTGCCTGGCATGAATTTTAAGCTGCCAGGTCCAGGACTCGAACTGTAGTAGGCTACGTGGGAGTCCAGTGATGTAACCATTATGACATCTGCTGGTCCCTCTTCCACTATTTTTTTAAAAACTGTCAGAAGGTATGGGTGCTCATGGGAGAGAGATTTTTGGAGGGGTACCATCCAATGGGCACAAACATGCCTCCGTCCCTCCCCCCGTTTCCTCTATCCTGCTGGATTTGGGGCACACACATGTGCCGTATTGCGTCCCTCAAGCCACCAGGGCGGGATTCATGGTTGCCCGTGTGGGATCTGGTTCCCTCAACCACCAGGCCCAGGGCCACCCAAGGCTGAATTTTCTCGCAGATGCAGTGGGAAACCACTGAAAGGTTTCCTGACCCTCGGGACCTTGGCAAAGGCACTATGTCGCTGGGCAAAGGCTGGCCTTCGGGGCAGGGAGGCCACCCTGAGGCCGAGCCGGCTCCACATGGCCAGAGGCGTTAGGAGGCTCAGCTGGGCAGTGGTGAGGCTGTGATCCTGATGGGACGACTGACCCTGCTGACCACTGGCCGGGGAAGGAGGGAATGGAATCAGCAAGACTTCCCGGGCTCAGGGTCGGGGCCACAGCTGCGGGGCGATGGGACAGGCAGGGCTGCAGGGAGTCGGAATGTGGGGACGCTTCAGGTTAAGCTGCTTATAGCGCATTGAGGTTTATCACGGGGCACTGGGGTACCCGGGCCTGGGGCCTGGCGGTGCGGGGAAGAGGGCTGCAGGTTTCAGAGTTGGAATGATCGGTGTGGTGCAGATGCATGGCCCCGCCCCAGCATGCACTGCCCCTGC